AATTCTGAATGCCTGTTCAAGCAGGCTAAGGCTAGTTGGGGACACCCAGGGTGGTTTGAAGTTGGGGTGTGGGAGTGCAATTTTGGGGTTCGCCGGGTGTCCACAGCACTCTCCTGCAGGCCTGTGGTTCCTCTGAGAGGTGTGCGTGTGGTCAGGATGGAGGTGGTGTGTGCATTTACTCTACCTTGTCTTCAGTCCTGCAGAGAGGGGTCATTGGCCCCATTGGGGGCCAGAGGGGAGAATTGGCTTTATAAATAGCTAGTTAGCTGACCTTGGACAATCATTAAACCTCTCTAAGCCTTTTATCCTCAGCACAATGATATAAAATACCAGTCCTTGGCTCCCTACCTCACAGCCTTACAGTTGAGACAAAGTGAGAATGTGTGTAGGATTGTGAAACCCACCCAGCAACCTTTATGCTAGCTGGGTTTGCATGCAACTGACTACCCATCACAACAGCCTGGGTGAACAGAAGGCTTTTGGAGGAAGGCCTAGATTTTCCCAGAATGCTCTAAGGATGCCTTTGGAGGCAGAGACTTGAATTTGAATTCTAGCTTCTCTCTGAACTGGTTTTCCATCTGAAAAATAGTAATAATCTTTGCCTTGTAGAGGGTAACTTATTTCATTGAAGACCCCTAGGTTAAGAACCAGCATATAGTCAATTCTTCATAATTTTATTCATCCAACCCACTGAATGTTTACTGCATACGTACTGTGAGCAACATGTCCGGAGGAACAGACTTATTTCTACATACCAGAGACGCAGCAGTTTCACACATTCTAAGTGGGAAAGAAAGACAATAGACAGCAAAATTTACAAATGTTGGGAGGCATTTGTATGTCTGTCTCAGGCGTTTGTATGAGCGCTGGGGTGGGCATGGGATAAGGGGTACAGAGTGCCAGGAACGTGGCTTCCCTTCCAATTGGAGTGGTCAAGCAGGTTCTCTCAAGCAGACTCTGAAGGAGGTAGAGCAGTAGGTTACCTAGGGAAGAACATTCTAGAGAAGGAAAGAGAAAATACCAAGACCTGAAATGGAAGTGTGCTCAGTATATTTGAGAAACCCCAAAGGGACCAACCCATAAGGCTGATGTGCAGTGAGCAGGGGCAGAGGCAGGAAGTGAGGTCAGAGAGCTAGCAGGGACCACATCACACAGGGCTCTGGCAGCCATCGGAAGTGAGAGGAGGCCACTGGGGTGAGGGTTTGGGGGAGTGGAGTGACCTGCTGTGACTTGCACTGTGCTGGCTGCTGTCAGCCTTGTGGATTGTAAGGGGCAAAGGCAGATGCAGAGAGACGGGGGTAGGGGCTCCCACAAAGATGCTGGAGAAAGAAGACGGCTTCTGGTTTTCAGCCTGAACATGCAGAGGAGCAGTTGCTGAGATGCCACCGAGTACAGGACAGCATGCCTGCTCAAGTGGGGCACAGAGGTGGGATCAGAGGTGCACTGTAGATGTGTTAATGGTGGGAAGTTAGGAGGCATCTAAGTGAAGACGTCAAATGGACTGTTGGCTAACCCAGTCCAGAATTCAAGCGAAAATTATGGCAGGAGCTACATATTTAGATGTCAGCAAAAGCATAACAGGGCCCTGAAAGAAGTGAGTGGGCTTCTAATCCCACCTCCACTGCTCTCCTCCTGCCTACAACCTCCCCGCAGTCCTCTGCATCAGGCAGGCCCTAGCTGAACTCCCAGCAGGATGCAGGCTCTCAGAAACCACTCCATGGCTGCACTAACTCATGTTTCCACGACAGTGAATGAAAGAGTGACGCAAAGAAAGGACAGTTTACAGTGGTTCCCAACCTGTGGGTCACGACCCCTTTGTAACATATCCTGTATATCAGATATTTACATTATGATTCATCACAGTAGAAAAATTACAGTTATGAATTACAGTTATGTAAAATTATTACAAAAATAATTTTATGGTTGGGGGTCACCACAACATGAGGAACTGTATTAAAGGGTCACGGCATTAGGAGGCATTAGGAAGGTCGAGAACCACTGGTTTATACCAATGGATAAATGTGCTGAGGAATAACAGCTGTGGAACTGGGCTGGGAGCAGCTCTGCCCTGTCCCGGGAGGGATTTCTCTATCCTAAGGTCCCTGACTGGAGTGGCGCTTCCCAGCCAGGCCCAGTCTGGGTAGTGAGCCTCTTGCTGGTGGGCCCACCTTTTAGAAGTAGACAATGGAAACTTCTTAAAAACCTTAGAAAGAAAGTCAATGATAGAGAGAAACTCAAATGCATCCTCGAGTAGAGATCCCAGTTGTCTGCTCCTGGCTGGAGTGGTTCAGAAATTCAGGACCAAATCAGGAAAGTCCCAAGGACACCACTGGACCAGGGCTGAACCAGGGATGTCAAAGTGAGAGGTGACCCTCTCACAATGAGCTGCCATAATCAGAGAATACGTGCCTGGGCTGCCCTCTGGACCAGCACAGCCCCAGGTCTGCCAATGAGAACCTCACCCCTGATGGATGGCATGTCCACCGTGGTGGAAGGGCTGGCTGGGGAATAGCCAGCAGGGCCTCATCCCTCTCCACCCCACTTGCCCTGTCTAGGGTGACCCCAAGGCTGCTGGGAATATAAAAGTAGACCTTTCTCTTTTTCAAAAGTCAGAGATGGCTAAGATAAGTCTTCAGCACATGGTCCAAAGAAGCAGAGCAGAGAGGAGAGAGTAACTTCTGTACAAAGGGTGCACATCCTCCCCTGTGGGGCAATCTCGCATAAGGAGCTGTGTGGACAAGGGTCAGGGCCAGTCAGTGGCCAGCTCACACCCACCTCGCCCCCATCTCCAAGGCGAGTTGTGTTTAGGGACAGCAGAAAGATGTCATTTTTAGGACTTGCTTTTATTTCTCACACTTCAACATATTCTTCTTCTATAAATGTTTTGTAATAATTCAGCCTGCAGGTGCAGAAATACACATGCATCTAACTTAATTAAATGACTATGCTCACTATTTCTCAACTTGATAGGGGCTTGAACGGAAACAATTTGAAGGCCCCTGCTTTAGAGAAAGAAACCCTGGGGCTAGTGGCATCTTTCCAGTGCTTCCTGAGTGGTTGCCTGGTCTGACGATAAAGTCCCAGCCCCTAAGGGGTGAGGGCCGTGTGGCAAACGCGTGCTCAACAGGAAAATGCTGGGATGGACCAAGGGCAAAAGCTATTTCTCCATGGCAGGAGCCAACCAGACAGAAGCTGTGACTAAGCTCTGCTCTAAGGCCACCCCTCCAACGCACACACACAAACTCACACTCACAGGCAGGGCCCCAGAGAGGATCCTGGGGTGCCTCAGTTCCTTCCAAAAAGGAACCTCCAGAAATCAACCTCATATTTGGGTCACACCAACAGCCCTGCTTCTCTCTCTCCCTCTCTCTCTCTGCATATATACATGTATATACATATAAATATTATATGTGTAATATATAACCTATATAACATATATGTATAACAAAATATATTATATATAAAATATACAACCTGTATAACATATATAATATGTAACATATCTTACATTACATATGTTATATATGATACAATAACATGGTACATGTTATGTATGTAACGTGTTAGATGCTATATATTACATATTACATGTTATATATGTGGTACAAATTATAATATATATGTAATATATGTTGCATATGTAATATATACATATATAATATGTATATAAAAATTAATATGCATATGTAACATGTGTATAGCAAGAGCACTAATGAATCCACGCTATTCCTTCTCACACCTCCACACCTCCTGCGGTAGCCAGTGTTAATTGCTTATTGTATATCTTCCTACATCAATATACTTTCACGTAGAGACACATAAAAATAAATATAGAAACATTCATAGGAATTAATTTTTAAAATATAAATGATATATTGGTTTCATGTTCTTCTACATCTTTTTTTCATTTATCAACATATCACAGGCATCGCTTAAGCCAACAGAGATATGCCTAGTTTGTTCTTTTTACCATCTGCAAAATATTTAATAGTTTGTGTGTAGCTTAATTTAGTCAACCATTTCCTTCTTAATGGACAGTTGAGTTGCTTCCAATTCCTTTGCCACAGTAATTAATGCTGTAATAAATACCCTCATATATATGTCACGCAAAACTAGTGCTTTTATTGCTGTAAGCAGGTAGCAGAATAATCCAAAGGAATGCAGGATCTCACCTGGCTGCATTAATAATTTGTTTTTGAAATTCTGGTAATACTGTCTCACATTCACGACAGAGAGCTGTGTTGGGGTGTGCAGGAGGGGTGCACTTCCTCCCTGCTCCACCCAGAGTGGTCCTCTCCCTGTGTCTCATGCATACTGGGACCTCACCCCAGATGTGACTACCTGAAGGACATTGGCCAAGAGCTGCCTGTCCAGGGCATGATGAGGCGGGGCAGAAGGGAGGATGTACAGCCCCTCCCAGGCTCAGCCAAGTCCCAGCAGAGCAGGCTGGTCAGACAGGTACTGTGTCCGGGCAGATGAAAGGCCTCTCCGCTCACTCCCACATGGCGTGCCTCCAACAGGCTGACAGAGCCTTGCAGCTGCCAGGTGTATTGTGCATGCTTTCCCAGGTAAGAAAGCAACTCAGAGGGCTGCTGTGTGGGTTTCCCTTTCAGAATTAGGAAAAGGCAATGTTCTCACAAGAGTCCCCTCATCCACCTGCCTCTTCGCCTGGCTCTCAGCAGGACAAGCACCTTTGTGACTCAGGGGTGTCAGTGCCCTGGAACCTTGGAGCCCTGAAGCTGCAGAGCTGTTGGGTCAGCCCCAGCTCCCCATTTCCAGAGAGATGCATTCACAGCTATAATGGGTGATGCATCTGTGATGATCATTACCCTGCAAGGGTCCCTGTTACCAGTTCCCAAACTCACATAGCCTTTGCACCAACTGCTTTGTAAACAAGCAAGTCCACCAGTGACTCCTGACCAAGTCAGACACTGCAGTGGAGAATCCCCACGTCGCACCCAACCCTAGCCACCATGCCTCCCCCACCCTCCCCCACCCACCTTCACGGCCTTGGCTCTGTTGATGAGTCCGTCGTCCTGAGAACTCCCAATGAGCAGATCGACCTTCATTTGTGGAGACCTCTGCAACGCTCTGGCTGGAGCCTCGTGAACGTACAGGCCATCGACCACAGGACCCCAGTAGTGGAAAGGGCCACTCACGGCCAGGAGCTGCAGCAGAGACAAAAATGGTACTGGGATGACCCATGCATCACTGTGCTTAGCAAGGTCTTAACTAGAGCAAGTGCCAGTGCTCTTATTCATCTGGGCCTCTTGGGGAAACAAGAGTAAAATGATCAGAACAAAGGGCAGGCAGGACACCACACAGCAGTGCCAGGCGCCATAGGCAGAGCTCACACTCAGTGATGAGCCTCCCTGCCGAGCGAAGCACAAATCCAGAGGGAAGAAGAGGTGAGCAAGGGCTGGGAGTGAGGTAAGGCAGGAGACAGTGGTGGCTCTGATAGGCGAAGTTCATCAACTTTAGTCATGATCAGATTAGCCTGAATTTAGGGGAGCGGAGGATAACAATCATTCCAAAGCTCCGAGTCCAAACTCATTGCTGTGGGGATCAAGCCATGAGCTGAGATGGAAACACTTATTCCAGCTGGTGTTCCCTTCATCAATGTCAGAGTCATCCAGAGACTTGGGCCGTGAGCAGGCTCCATGCAGCTAGAAAGGGAGCACACAGCCGCCCTAAGGGAGTGACGTGGTCCTAGCCCATTGCCCGCTGTGAAGCTTGTGGCACCAGGTAGGACCCTGCAGCCATGCACTTCATTTTATTCTCCTATAAGATCCACAATGCTATCCCCATGTTATAGACGGGAAAGCCAGGTTGCAGAGAGACCAGTGTCCCCTCCATGCCCATGCTTGGTCCAGCACGGATAGCAGCCCATGCTCCACACTGGGGGTCAGGAAAAGTGTGTTCTAGCTCCAGCTGCCTCTCAACCTGCTGTGTGGCTTGGGTGACTTGCATCTCCTTTCTAGGAAAACCATTTGTAAAAGACCAGAGAATGCCCCCCACCACCTGCACACAAGTGCCCACCTTGGTCTGGGCATCATTGAGGATGTTGGCAGGCTTCTGGCGGAGACAGGACACCACTTCTTGGCTGGATGAGGTGGGGCAGCTGACCTCCTCTGCTAAAGCAGCTGCCTGCTGCTGGGCCCTCTCAAGGCTGATGACAGCAGCCGGCGAGAGCACAGAGCCTCCCTGAAAGAGAAGCATCAGTTCTAGGTCATCTCCTGCCTCTGCTCAGCCCACAGGCTCCAGGGCTGCCTCAGGGCTCTACGTCTTCCCTCCACACTTGGAGGTCCCAGGGCAGGCGCACACACAGGGAGGCCAGGACAGGTCTGCGGCCTGTCAGCTACGTGATCTGGAATAGCCGTCTCCCTAGGCCTCGTCTCCTCACCTGTACAGTGAGGGGACTAGACAAAGTGGCCTGCAGTCTTGGCTGTGCAGTGGAAGTTGCACATGGAGGTGGAGAACTGATGGTCTTTGAATAGGGAAAAAGACCATCAAAGTCCTCTGGGAAAAGGACTCTGCAAAGTTGGGACCACATCCCACCAGCACATCCTGGGGCCCCGTAAATAGCAAGCCTTCTTGGCTCAATTAAAATTCAGCTCGGGTGGCCCCTGTGGCCCAAAGCAGTAGGGCACCAACCCCATATACTGGAGGTGGCGGGTTCAAACCTGGCCCCAGCCAAAAAATACTGCCAAAAAATAAAATTAAAATAATTTAGCTGAAATTTAAAATAGACGCCCACCTAGAAGGTGAGGAAAACAGTCACTGTGAATGTAAATGGTTCCCTCAATGTCAACATAGCCTCTGTTAAACTGACAGGTTGCTGGGATCATGGTCTTTCTATTTTTTTTTTTTTTGGCCAGGGCTGGGTTTAAACCCGCCCACCTCCAGTATATAGGCTGGCACCCTACTCCTTGAGCCACAGGTGCCTCCCTGGGATCATGGTCTTTCTTTCTTTTTTTTTTTGGCCAGGGCCAGGTTTACACACGCCCACCTCTGGTATATGGGGCTGGCACCCTACTCCTTGAGCCACAGGTGCCACCCTGGGATCACGCTCTTTCTAAGAATGCAACATGTGGGAGCTGGGAGCCAGGAAGCTGATCTTTGCCTGGACTACTGGTGTAAATGGGTCATCTGCCCAGGGTGGAACAGAGGAGCAGAGTAGGGTCCTGGCCAGCATAGGATTCCAGGATATTCTTTTGTGAGTCTCTGCCACCTCAGCTCAGAAACTGGGTGGCCTGATGAATCAGGAACAAAATTTGGTGGTGGTGGGGGTAGCCCTCATGCCACCACCCTTACTGGGGCTGCTACCACTGACGATGGTCACAGGAACAACTGTGGATCCAGAGTTTAGATGCACTCAAGGGATTCCCCTCTTTTAGCTCATTTGATCCTCATGGCAACTATGTGAGTGAGTTATTATGATGGTTCCAATTTTACAAATATGTCAATAAAGAAAATAAAGGGCAATTAAGTAACTTGGCCAAAGTCCAAGATCTTGTGAGAGGTGGAACCAGCCTGTGGAACCAGACAGCCAGGCTCCGGGCTGTGTGCAGCTGCCAGCAGGGGGGTGAAAGGCTCTAATTCTATGACCAACATGCCATACGACCTTGAATGAGTCACTTCTCAGGGCAATGGACCCCTCACCTCTAATAAGGGGAAGCTGGCTTGAGAGTACTTTTGCCTACTGAGCACCTGCCGGGCTCCCATCCCACCGGGAGCTTGGTCGACTGTCTCATGTAATCTCCACAGCAATAACATGAAGTAGGTATGATTATTGCTTCATTTTGCAGACAAGCCAGCTAAAGCTCAAAAAGGGAAGAGAGAATTCTGATTTATCAAGTACCTCATAAGTACCAGGGACTAGGTAGGAGCTTAACAATGACAAAAAATTAGAACCAACATTTACTGAGCACTCACTAAGTTTTAGAACCATAGTCCTAAGCACTTTGCATAACATCGACTCATTAAATCTCCACAACACCAGGGCACGGATGTTATTTACCTCCTTATCTTAAAGTGGAGGTAATGGGGCATGGAGAGGTTCAGTCTCTTCCCCAGCGTGACACAGCCAGTGAATGTCAGAGCCAGCATGGCAGTCCCCGAAGCCCACTTCCATCCACATTATATGAGAGTGAGTTTTTGCATCCAGAAAAGGTGGTGTACCTTTGCCGTAAACGGGCCCTCTTACTGCACCATAAGGAGAACATTCATCAGGTTGACTCCATGATACCTTTACCTCAAGTCTGGGCCCTACACTGAGCTAAATAAATCAGAAGCTAAATAAGCAGCAACCAGAGAGAAGCCCACGGCCAGCGCAGGGCCTGAAAGCCAATGATGGGGGCATACAAGGGTCGAGAGGATTAGCACTATTATTGGGCTCCCGTTCCCTTGGGTTTGTTGATCCAACAATGAGGGGGCACTTTTCTGAGAACTGTGGGATGTAGTTTCTCTTAATGGAAAACCCATGCGTGCAGACACACTCAGAACATCAAGGTCCACGCCTGTGTCCTGCAGGACGGCCGGGGCTGCTCAGCCCAGCGTCATCCAGGACATGGGAAAGTCAGCATGGGGTCCTGATGTTTTCAACACGTTCTTCAGCTACAGCAAGCCCAGCTCCCTGACATGGTGAGGAAGTGGCTAACGGCGTGGGTGACACTGATATTGTGAGATGGCTTCTACTTTCCTCTCTCTTACTTTGTTGTAATTGATCTTTCTAAAGGAAACTTCTGTCTCCATGGAAAATCAGTGGTTAAGTAGACCAACGGCAGCCCAGCCCCCGACTGCAGAGAAAGAGAGTGGGGGCGGGCACTGAGCAGAGTCCTACAGAAGGCAGGGGCTCTGAGGCAGGAGGACCCAGTTCCACTCCAGCTCTGTGACTCCCTGGTAAAGTGAGCCTGGGTGCTTGATTCTCTGTGAATGGGAACAATAAACCACACTCCACAAGGTTACAAGGGTACAAGAGACCATGCAGGGGAAGACAGCAGGGGACCTCTGCGCTGCAGGTGTGCTGGCCACACTGCTGATAACACAGCGGTCTTCATAGGACCCTGCGTGGTGTGGCGGGATCAGGCCTCCTCGGTCTGCCCCGTCATGCTGGCAGGGCCCTGGCCCTGGGCGCCAGCGTTATCTAAATCTGACCTAGCTATTAAATGGTAATGCATTTCCGCTGGTGGTTGTTTTTGTATCTTTAAAAATAGTGCAGGCCCAAACCACAATTGCTGATCACAGCTTTTTCTTCCTGGAGCCTCTGAACATGGTATAAGGTGCCCTGACCTCAGCCACTATAGTCACCTCGGAGCTGAGGCCTGTCTCTAACTAAGGACACATACAGATACACAGGGTCACAGACACACTCAGTCACAGAGAGAATCATATACACACAGACACATTCAGAGATACACACATTCCCAGACAGAAACACACTCCCTACACAGACACGGAGACACACAGAGATGTGCACGGTCCCAGACAGAAACACACTCCCTACACAGACACGGAGACACGCAGAGACGCTCACGGTCCCAGACAGAAACACACTCCCTACACACATACGGAGACACACAGAGATGTGCACAGACCCAGACAGAAACACACTCCCTACACACACATGGAGACACACAGAGATGTGCACAGTCACAGACACACTGACACTCGGACACTTGGAAATTCACACGCTGAGACACAAATACAGACACTCACAGACACAGACACACACACAAACAGAAGTGTCCTTTCGGAAATGGGCACATCAGCATTGCCAGGAGGAGCCCCCCACAAGCCACGTGGGCAGATGGTATCAACAAGCAAAGCTACCAGAAGGAGGGTGGATAGCAGAAGAGAGGCCGGGCAGCCTGGCCTTGGGGTGAACGAGAGGGTGACACTAGCTCCTTCCTGAACATGGACCCTCATGTATTAGGGGGAACATGGTGTCTACCTCACAGGGAAGGGGGAAGGATGGAAAGCCCAGGGAATCCTTCGTCTATCCAGCAGTGTGTGGATCACTGAGCTACGTCCTGCAAAGCCCTTGCAGTAGGGCCCAGCACACAGGCAAGACTGCAAAGGCACTGTCACGCAGGCACTGTTTGAGGGCCACATGCAGGGAAGCTGGTATCTCAAAAAGACCCTATGAGGCACATAGCAGTGTGATCTCAGCTTTAGAGGTGACAGAACTCCAGGGCAGAGGTGGAGACACTTGCCCACCGTGATAATTTTGTTCCTTTCACAACATATCAGGCAGAGAAGGCACTGTCTTTTTAGGGAGAAATTCTCTGCTGAGCAGAACCTGAATCCAGATGCTCCAACTCCAAACCTAGGGCTTCTCTTTACTTCTCTGGGGAGAACTCAGATGTGTGACTCCCAAGCCTTGACCAGACCACTGGGCATCTCTCGCTGGCTTGCTGGAGGCACTGAAGTCCATTACCATGTATCTGAGAATTATCAACCCCTATTTTATTTTGACTCTTATTTCAGGCAAAGTGAGTCACAAAGAAGAGTAAGACCCCAGCCTCAGTTAGGTAGATGGATATTTTTTAAAATATAGACTGTATCCAGCAGGACACACACACCAGGACCCTCAAAATGAGGCTCTCTATTCTCAGGGTCAAGAGAGAGTTAAGAATCCTTGTGTTCTGGGAACTCAGAGGAGTGCGGGATTTCTGGGCATGAGGATGGCCCAGAGGGGCTGCAGAAAGGCAGTGGGACTTGAGTTGACTCAGATGAGGGGACAGGAATGGGAATACTTGGGTGGATGACTCCTCCTGCGGGAGCAAGCAGGGATGACAGGAGGTCAGAGGCCCAATTACTGACAGGAGCCATAGATAGGAGCTAGGTCCTGAGTGTTCCAGTATCCCTAGCACAGAGCCTGGAATACACAAAAAATACGTGTTGCATGAGTGAGTAAGTGACTGTGAGAGTGAGGGCATGAATGAATGGAGGGATGGATGGACAGATGGATGGACCAGGGGCTGCTCCTGAATGAAGAGAGAAATTGCACGGAGGGGCAGTGAGGAGTAGAGTTTAGAGGACATTAAAGCCCACACTGAGCAGGTGATGCTATTCACACAGTGCTGACACCGGGATACAGGTAGATGTGCTACAGGCAATGGAGGTCAGGACAGGCTTTGAATGGCGTATTATGAAAAGCATTCAGGAATGGCACTGGGTCACTGGTTTTTGTATCTATGGTT